GCGGGGGCGGCGGGCCCGAGCTCCGCGGCTTCCCCCTCGTGTAGTTCGTTTGTTTATTGTACGTGTGTAGCGTCTGTGCGCTTTGATTTGTTTTTGTCGTGTTTGTTTGTTTGTTTTCTGTTCTGCAAACTTCTGGGCTGCTTTGTCTTCTATTGACAATCTTGCCCTGACAGTTGTACCGTTTTAAAGGCTGTAGTTTGCTTGCGCTCCTTGGGACCTTGAGACAGCTACCTGTATCTCGACTTTTAAAAATCCTCTGCTTAAGGTGTTTGTGAAAAAGCTTCCTGCTCTGATGAATATTTTGCCAGCTTCCTAGCTGTTACCTTGTGGTGTGTGGCTGGTCCAGTGGCTAGCACTGTTAGGGGAGCCTCGAAATTGAAAAATCTTCATTATTTTCCCCCCTCCTCTAATTAGCTCATTAGTTGAACTCCTAGCCCTGACCATAGTGAGCCTTCAGCGCCCTTTTTCATTTTGCTGGGTAAGCTTTGGAGGCCTCTGACTCTCCGTAGGAAGGAGTGGCTKGTTGAACTCGGCAGAATCCTTCCTGCCAATTTGCACGGCTTTAGGCTGTGCATTAGGAGGCTGCCACAGGTAATTAGCTGTGGGAGTTATCTGGGGAATCACCGTGTTAGAAATAGTAAGCCTTTATGGTAAGGCTGTTAGACAAGTATTCTTCAGCTTTTAGATACAGTGAGAAATTATGCTGGAAACTTAAAAACAAAATAACCCACACATTCATGTCCATTTCTGAAAAGAGAAGCATAAGTTTAGAAAGCAGCACATTAAATGTTGTGGAATTCTTACCGCTGAGCCTGATCRTTAAGTAAACTCTAACTGAAAGTATTGCTCAACTTAGCATTGACACTTTGATGTTTAGTTATTATGCATAAACTTTAAAGTTTTCCAAAATTACACACTAGTTTAAGAAGCTGCAGGGAACGGGCTCTTAATTCAGGTTATGTATTGTTACCTATGCTAAAAGGGTTTTTTGTTTGTTTGTTTGTTTTCTTCATTTGTAGCTGCTGCTTTGTGGGAAATGTGTGCCTGTAGGACATGCCCCCACTACCCCAGTGTTGCTGACAGCAGGCACTTGCCTCCTGTTCAGCTCAGGGCTGTTTGAGGTGAAAGGACTGACATCTGTGGCAACACTGAGAAAGAGCCTGCCTTGTGCTCTGACAAGTGTTCCCATCGAGGTGGGGAAATAATCATTCAGCGAGCTGGGTGRGTAGGTATCAGCTGGCTTCTACTTTGCAAGAATTGATCAGGCAAATCCAGACTGCTAGCATGTGTAAGGCATGTAAGAAATTTAAAAACATTAGTGGCTACCTACAAATCTACTTTGCAAACCGTAGTAACTGTTGGGAAAAGATATGGTGCGATTTTTATTTATTTATTCTTGTTTGTGTCAAAAAGGTCATTTAATTTTGCTGCTGTAGCTGCCTTCTGCCCTAGCTGTTTATATACACATGAAGAAATGGAGGTTTTGTGGGACAGAACGTCCCTTTATCTCTGATAACTAGCCTTAGTTTGTATCAGTCATGTTCCTAGATATAGCTTAGTTGGCCTGTATATTTCAATCCCGTAGCTCTGCTGTTTAATCTTGTCCAAAACTGACCTTTGCCATGTGTAACAGTTGTTATGCAAACAAATCAAACCGTAAGTTGCATAGCAGTGATTGTGGCTCCAGAGAGTTGTAAAAGATAACCCTGCTTCTCTAAAACTACTTAAGTAGGAGCTCTCGCAGCATCAAGTGGTGGGAGGGGAGAGAAGAATGGTCAAACTGTTCAGATGCTCGTGAACAAATTATGAGATACAACAGTAGGGTTATAGATTGATGGATTTTGTGGATTTTAAGTAAGAATAAAATAACTCGACAGCTGTTCTGTAAGTCTCTTAATCAGGTGGCTGATGAAAGAGTTAAATAGAATGTGATGGCATTTTTATTTTAACTGTTAAGGTGGTACTTTGACCCAGAATTTGCCAGTCTGTTAACTGCATGCTCTTCTTAATATCTTGTGGATTTTAAAGCTGATTTTACTAGTTGTAAAATTAGATGAAGTCTTTTTCTTCCCACTATCCTAGACGATAGGATAATTCTTTCTGTAGAATTTTGTTTTCTTTTTAAGTCTTAGAACATGTTTACAGAGAACTCCTTAAAAATAAATGTATGCAGTATTACTTTCATCATTCAAAAGATAAGCTTTGTATTCTCCTGTGCTGGTGGATGTATAGCTCTGCATAATATATGCTGTCCCATGATTGTAAGTAAAAAGGCATTTGAAAGTATTGGACAGCAGAGATAGGTGTGAGCTTGAAAATACAGAAATTTTAATTTTGACTATGATTTCCTAGAAACATAAAGCATATGTGATCCCCAGAGTTAGGAGGGAAAGCTGGAAGGAAGAGCAAGCAGATAGTACTAAATAGCTTTGACAGAGACTTAGAAATCACAGAATTTACGGACATTATATGAAAATAGTCAAGTAGAAAATGCTACTACTTCTGAAAAAATGTCTACAACGTAAATTCTTTAGCAAACACAGGAGTGTGTATGAGAGAGCTGTTTTGAATGCCCTAGCTACAGAAGAACCTGATTTGAATTGTATAGGTTGGTTGGTTGGTTGTTGTTGAGGTTTTTATTAGACATCAGTGAACTTAATCTATAGGAGGTCAATTTTCCTTAGTTTTTTGTTGTCAAGAATCTTTGCTCCTAAAGAACAGGAGAGCAATATCTGAGAATAACCCTGGACACCAGTACAGATTAGGAGTGGACCTGCTGGAGAGCAGTCCCGCAGAGAGGGACCTGGGTGTCATGGTGGAMKACAAGTTGACCATGAGGCAGCAGTGTGCCCTGGTGGCCAGGAAGGCCAACGGGATCCTGGGGTGCATTAAGAAGAGCGTCTCCAGCAGGTCGAGGGAAGTGATCATCCCCCTCTACTCAGCCCTGGTGAGGCCACATCTGGAGTACTGCGTCCAGGTCTGGGCTCCCCAGTACAAGAGGGATGTGGAGCTGCTGGAGAGAGTCCAGCGCAGGGCTACCAGGATGATCAGAGGCCTGGAACATCTGCCCTATGAGCAAAGGCTGAGRGAGCTGGGTCTGTTCAGCCTGGAGAAGAGGAGGCTGAGGGGGGACCTGATCAGCGTGTATAAATAYCTCAAGGGAGGCAGTGAGGAGGAGGGGGGCAGCCTCTTTTCAGTGGTGGGCAGGGATAGGACTAGAGGAAATGGCTTCAAACTGAAGCATCGGAAGTTCCACAGGAACTTAAGGAAGCATTTCTTCACTGTGAGGGTGACAAAGCACTGGAACAGGCTGCCCAGAGAGGTTGTGGAGTCTCCTTCTTTGGAGATCTTTAAAACCCGCTTGGATGCAGCCCTGTGCCAYGTGCTCTAGGTGACCCTGCCTGAGCAGGGGGGTTGGACACGATGACCTCTGAGGTCCCTTCCAACCTTCGGCAWTCTATGATTCTATGATTCTATGAATATATATTCTTGTTTCTTCCCTATGAGTATTACAGCAGACTATGCAAGGGTAAGAATCACATGTTTTCTGTAGCTACTAGGAGYAATTTGGAAGAGTTATTTAGATACAGAAGATGCGGGCTAGGAAGTCTTTATTTTTGGCTGTCCTTTCCTAAGCAATAATAATAGCAATATATAGGCCACAAGTTGAATTCATCGGCTTAAGCTRTGTCAGTCATAAGTGAGTTCACAGAGCTCCATGTCGTGTACGTGCTGTTTTTTTTAACAAATACCAAGTGCTCTGGGAGGTATCTTTGCCCTGTTAGAAGTCTGCCATAATGTTTTAAGATGTCTCATTTAAAGAGTAATTTATGTGAAGTTAGATGATGTGGGTAAATGGCATTGAGGAGTTAATCCTGAGGACTTTATTGATGGCTTTGTATTACGTACTATCTCCCTGACTCTGCAACTAGCACCTTTTGAAGGCCTAATGTATTGGAGTCATTGGCAAAACCACAGGCTGACAGAGACTGCTACCTCTGAAGCTTGTGTAGAGTTCACAACCTAACTCTGTGTTTAGAAATGAACAGGTAGGGTTTATGAATGGCATGGGATCAGTGATAGTGTATCATGCTAAACATGCCATTTTTTTCCTCCCTCCCCCTTTAAAATAAGTCTTTAAGCATATCAATAGAAAGAAGTCTACTCACTATAGAGGATTTTTTTTACTATTTGAATCAGGTTCCCTAAAAAATTCGACACTGCTAAGTTGAATGGAAGATCAAAACACCGAGTTATGCTTTACTCTGTGGTTAATGATGATGCAATTTCTTTGAGCATTGCAGCTTCATTTTTATCCTCCTYGTTCTTAAAACCTCTTGCCAAATTTTTAGGTAGGCAAAAAAAAATTCCTGCTTTTCGGAATGGCCTCACTATCTGCCTTTCCCACCTTGAAGGCAGTAAATGCTTCTGGCTCTGTAATCTCTTTTCCTTGGGACTGCTGTCCTGATAATGGCTCAGAAAATTGGGGCTGTATGCAAAATGACAGGTCAAAATGCTGCAAAGTGTTTTGTTGGCTGAAAAGCTCCTGCTGGTATTTACAGGATTGTCTGAAACCTTTGTAAGCTGAAAGGGAACCCATGCAGGCATTTGGTGGTACCCTTTTCTGAAAATATCTGGTCTGCTACTTAAGATTGGAGGAACAGTCTTTCTGAGGTCCTATTATTGAAATTTTGTGAAGAGCTCCTTCTGGGCTAATATTGCTGCAAGTGCTTTCAGACACTTGCAGATTGTGTCACTTTGTTTTTCACATGGGTGGAGACGTTAGCAGTCTCTTTCACCAAGCAARAGATGCTCTAGAAGGCACTACTGAGTGGTGAGCAAGATCATTTATCCATTCAGCAATCAAATACCATCCCACTTAAACAAGATCTTACTAACAGTAATGCTTCTTTTATAAGAACAGTAGTATTCACTTGTAGAACTGTGGGAAATAGCACTTACAAAACAATTAAATGGAGAGTATGTTTTTGAGCATGTGTGTGTTCTGTAAATGTTATGATCAGCCTTTTCACACATAATTTTTCAAGATTTTCTGATTGATACTACACATATTTCCCCATATGGGCAAGTTTGAATTCACAACAGAGAATTCAACACTGACTTTTGAATATTTAGGAAGGAAAGATTTATACTGGAAGTGGATTTCTGCCAACAGGATTCTGCTGAAAGCTGAAGGTTTTTTTTTTTTTTTTTTTTTTTTTTTTTTTTTTTTATGACAGCTTTGCAGTGTTTGAAAATGAAATAAATGTAGTGAGTGAATAAAAGAAAATCTTGAATTTAACTCCTCCACTGTGAATTCTGTTCATATTTAAAATGATTTTTTTTCAGTTTGAGGCTGTTTTATGGATGTTCTTATTTTTAAGGCTTAAGGAATTTTTGTAAGCACATTTTCTGAAAGCTTAGAAGCACTTCTCATGAATATTGAAAGGTGGAAAACTTGTTAATGTGCTAAGAGTTGTTACTTTAAGTGGCTTGTAACGATTTAACTATGAAATACATGATATAATTATTAAATTACAATTAGTATTATTGATTGCAATTGGATTATTGAGGACAGGGACACAGAACTATGAGACGAGACAATGTACAAAGGACCTCACATTTACCAAGGTCAGGAAGTAAGTGGTTTGGGATCGCACAATGAGAGAAAAGGCTGTGCCAAGTTGAAACTAGGGTCTAAATGTAAGCATATTCTAAATTCTTTTTTTTACCTTTGCTTTCTAAAATTTGTCAGGAGGAAGTATTTAAATACCTATATTTTATGATCTGATCAAAGACAGCTCGGATCTGATGGGGTTAGCACAAGCTGTTATAGTAAAAGTTAGAATATTCTCAGTGTGTCTGCAGTTTTCATTATTTCTTGCATGCACAAATGTATCATTAGAACTCCAAGAGCTATTTAATTTAGATATTATAATCTAAATCTTACATGTCAGCAAAGTCTTAACTACTTGGAAATATTATGCTTGCATACTGGAATCTGAGCTATGATCTCAAAAATGAGTTTGCAGGAAGTCTTGAGCAATCTGGAGTTCAGTTTTGTCTGTAATCTTTTGACTGTTACTGATGGCTTTGTTGAAGAGATGTGCGTGGAAGTAGCAAAGCTTGAGAAAAGAAATAATCTGAACACTGAACATAGAAGTAATAGTCATGTTTCTGATGTTTTCCAGTGTGTGTTGAAGTACAGGTTCAGAACTCTG